CTTTTTAAGGGAGTTACTTTAATTTTTATTTGAAATCTAATTTTTAAAAACACTTCATATTTCGGTAGAAAAAGTCAAATTGGACTAACTTCCTCTAAAAGTCCTTCTAACTATTAGAAATATTTTCATAAAATTAGCCATACGGATTCAAAAACAGCTTTCAAATCTCAAAAATTCCTTTTGACTGTTCAAAAATCATGTCAAGCGAAACCCAAAGTACATGTTTGAAAGTGTTTATAAGAAGCTTTTAAGCCATTCCGATCAAGTTCTAAATACTTTTTACGAGATACTTTGTGTTGTTCCATATTTAACTTAGATCGTAATCTAGCTACTTAAAAAATGGACCATGGGTAATGGGCCTTAGAGAGAATGTTATTCTTGAAATTTATTCCATTCTCGTATTCAAAGTGATACTTATTGATCTTCATAGTGATAATTCCAATTCTTGTATATATACATGGAAAACTTTACTTCACTAATTCTTCATTCTTAGCCCTTAACAACATTTTGCTCTTCGATTAATTCTTAATTCTCAACTCATTGTTTTGCAAAGCAAGGACTGAATCGTAAGATACATGGATTGGTGACACTAGAACATTCGAATATGCAAAATAAAATATCGACATTTCTAGATTTAAATAATAGTATAATGATTTTGCATATCTGAACGACTATAATGATTGATAGTAAATGGAAGGAAAAAGCCAGATGCTATCGTGGAAATATCTGATTCGTCTGTATTTTTTTCTTTTTTCTCATCCTCCAATGAATCCGTACCATGTGTGTGTTTGTAAAAAAATTATTTCAATTTTTTATGTACTTGTAGCATGATTGTAAATGGAAGTATTACTTCCATATTTATTGCTTTCAAAGTATCTTTGTCTTCTCTTTTGGGTAAGGGAGTCTCCCTTCTGCTTATACTCTAATTTTAGCTATAATAAAGGGTTCGGAAGACTTCGATGGTGTTTCGTTTATAATAAATCAAGTTAATACAAAAAATAATTATGAAAGGGTTTTCATTTTTTCCGATTTATCTGTACATGACTTTTTAAGCCTTTTTATAGGTTTGTACCACCCGTGGACCTGGACGAACAGGGGGTGCATGTGGCGTCTGGCTGGGTGTCAGCCACGCCACATGCGCCCTTGGAGTGACAGGGCATACACTCTAGTAAAACCCTTCAAACATTGTATAAAATAAAGACTCGATACATTATATATACTAATGAAAGACAATACATTGTATTGATCAAGCACTTAGTACATTGTCTTTAATAGACCAGAAAAGTTTTGAAAACAATTCAATTAAAGTATAAATATGTGTTATTAAATTCAAACTAGTTAGGGTATTATTAGAGTAGTCTAAATATTTTTTTCGATAAAATCATCCACAAAATCCTTTTCATGGAACTTTTGATATATTAAAGAAAAGATAATTCCTTTTCAATACGTCTAAACAAGTATGATCATTCAAGTATTTGTCACACCTAGAAGTGTAAAAATGTGTCGAATCAAACCTAAGCATGGCGGCATGGAGAAAGCCCCGCCGGGCGGGGCACACTCATTCCCATACAACAAAAGGCTATTTACGCACCTCGTTGGAGGACCGTGCTGCATTTAATATCACCATGAAGAATGTGGTACCAAAGAAATGCAGAATTAGATTGTTTGTTCAAGTGATGATAGGCTTGGCCTTAGCCACCATTAAGATTTGTAATTCCATCTTAAAAGATCAACCTTATTAAGAAGAGTAGTCCAAACTCTTATAAATTGGTCTATGTTTACATTTTTATTCGACGTGAGATTTTTATCCTTTAACATGCTCTCACAAGATGGTGGCTCGTTTGAGCACACGAATCTTGAAATCCGTGCGCTCAATTGTTTTGAATCTTAATCGGATCGAATTGCTCGTTAGAATTTAATGGACCCTGATACCATGTTAAAATTTGTGGTCCCATTTTAAAAGGACAACCTTATTAAGAGGAGTAGCACAAACTCTTATAAATTTGTCTATATTTTCGTCTTTATTTGATATGGAATTTGTATCCCTTAACAGCCACGAACATCAAAAACTAATTCTTAGAAACATCGATTGGACCCAACATCCTTAATTCTCTTATCTGTTACACAGATGAGGTCAATCTCTTGTTTGGATTTCTCGTGCTTTTTTGGCCCTTCACTTAGATATGTGTGGATAACAATTCCTATACCACCCACCCCACTCCCACATATTCCAAAAATTATTGGCTTCAAATATCTTTCACTTTTCATAATTTGTTTGCATTTAGTTTCTTAATTTTCTATTCTTAACTGTTGGGGCTCGATGTGGGAAGAAAATAAATCTACTATATAATCCAAGTGGGCTACTCCACCCATCACCAATTAGTTTTGGGATGGAACCTCACTTGGGCCGGTGGAGTGGGCTTGGGCCTTTGGGTAATTGCTCTCAATAATTCCCTAATAGTGGTATCAGAGCCCAGGTTGTGTGGCTAGATAAATCGAGGCAGTGGAAAATTCTCATGAGATGGTAGATCTATGGTAACGTAGTGGGTGCAGGCTACGATGGATTATCTCGGTGAGTGGGGATTTACAGGTGAGTGGTGATTTACCTCGTGAGCCGTGTTTGAAGGAGGGATTGTTGGGGCAAATAAGTCTCACATCGGTGGTGGGAAGAAAATAAATCCACCATATAATCCAAGTGGGCTACTCCACCCATCACCAATTGGTTTTGGGATGGAACCTCACTTGAGCCTGGTGGAGTGGGCTTGGGCCTATGGATAATTGCTCTCAATAATTCCCTAATATTATCCTTTTTTGTCCATGTACAAGAAAAGAGAGATGTATCAGCACTCTTTTCCCTGTTTGCATTGCCACCCTCATACTTACATCAGAATGGTACCATATATCTTAATTTTCTTTGGGTTTTATTATTCGTTTTTCGTTTTTTGATTATTAATTCATTTGTAAAAATATGTTAAAAGAAATCTTGATCATGAATAACTTTGGTGTATGTATTTGTAAATTAATTACAGGTTCAAAATCTCATAGAGAGGTGCTTGTTACTTCATACGGATCAAGACCAATGCATCAAGGCATTAGCAAAGCATGCAAAAATTCGTCCCGTCGTAACACTCGCAGGTATATTCACTTTTTAATAGTTGGTTTTGCTTTCTGGAGGTCAAGTCTAGCCCCTTCGTAAATTGTAACGGTAGTGATAATCACCATCAGGGGCGGAGTCGAAAAATAACATTAGGATGGGCCGAAATTTAAAAAAAGATTCGGCTAAACTCATAACAAAGAGTGTACGACACTCAATGAAATAAAAGAAGCCTAGATGTTTCATCCTAAGATGTCTCACTCGATCTTATTTTCTTACCAAATAGAAAATCAACGCATGGGTTAAAAAATATAAATTGAGTAAATCATGATCGAAATAATTAAGCAAATGATACATATCCACTAATAAAAAATCAAGAAATTATTTAATGAATACTATTCTAAAAAACTTTGACGATCAGTTTTTCCAAACAATTGAAAGCTTTGGCCGAAACCGAAACACTCAATCAATAATACATCACTATATGTTGTTGTCTCAAAATATTATTTGGTATAGACGTCATTCTTCTATATTTCTTCATTTCATAATAAGTGAAGAATCACATCCAAAGTGAGAAATATCGATTAAGAATTATGAGGGTCCAAGGAAATTAGATTTAATTCATAACTATGTTTGGCTCAAGCTCAATTTAAAGAATATATTTATATATATAGATCAATTTATAAATAAATAAAATTTAACAAATATTCTTTTATTGACAAAATAGAATTTAGAGTAAGTTATTTATTTTGATCATAATATATTATTTATGGTCAAAATAAGTAGTTTTTTTTATAATTATAACTAAATAATAAATGAAAACAAAAGTAGAAATAAANAAGTAATATATGAAAACAACCGTAGAATTAAAAATTTAATTGCTTTTAAACTTAGCAAAACATATAGTGTCTCTAACTATTAAAAAAAGTGATTTATTTTCATTATCAATTATAAAATTTACTTAATTATCAGAAGTAAATTTAGTCAAATATACATTAAATAAAATGCTTTAATTGACAATAAGATATTCACGTTTCGTGAATATCTTGAAAATAATATTTAATAATTGCAGTCTCTCTGACAAAATTTGAATAAATGAGCATTGAACTTGAGTTATAATTCAAACTAGAGTTGAGCTAATACAATTTAATAATTGTAGTCTCTAAATTTTCCTTAGGGGCTGGGGATAGGGCTGGGCTAGCCCCCCACTACCTCTGCCCCTTATCATCATCCTCGCTATGGTTTGCAAAAAAAAAAGCGTGCAAGCTAATGTGTGTTCTCATTCGCCCTATGATCTTTTTCTGCCGACTTCTAATGATGGATTCATGTAGTGTGGAGAGAGCTGCTAAAGGAGAATAAAGATTTCTTTCGAGCCTACTTCCGTTCTATATCTCCAAGACCATCCACAAGTAACCCTGCATAATACTCATATAATTATGTAGTAATTTATAGTTTCTTGCTTGGCTTTAGCTTTTTATGAAGTTCTTAATTTGAATTTGCAGGTAGATTTAAGGCATCAAGGTTTGGAAGAAGAAACAGATGAAATCATCAATAAGAAGAATAAGAAAAATTTCCTGAAAAAAGGGTGTCACCATTAGCAATATAATTATTATTACGATTCTTAGAAATTTGGTAGTACTTGAGTTATACCCATAAAGGGGATATATGTGATGTGTACAAAAAGTTTAGGTCAAGCATAAGAGTTGATCGTAAGTTTAATTCGACTAGGCAACATTATATTTAGATATTTCACTCGTCTTTCTTATTTAATCTTAATCAATCTTGTTGAGTTCAGCGACGGAAATGCACTTGCGACTAGCATTCAGTCCAATAAAGTTTGAAAACAAATCAACAGGTTGAACTGAGTACAAACGCTACGTACTTGAAAAAACGAAAATGGCGGAAATTAAACCCTAATATAATGCTCTGAAGAAGAGACATCACTCTCTTCAATAAAAGGGTGTTTTTGCACCAAGAAAACTGTTGCCTTCTGAGGCCACCTGAAATCAAGTGTATAGCAAAAGAGAACAATAAAGTAAGCCCATAATTCAGCGGCACAAGTTAATTAAAATTTACTCCAAATTAAGCTAAAAGTTAATCAAATTCTACTGTATTTTGACCTTCCTTTTATGGTAGCATGACAAAAATATTGACATCTGGTAGTTGAACATCTAGAAAGTGTTGAGCTGTGGAATCAATGTGACATCAATACTATGAAAATAACCTCTCTGGTACCATCCTATGATATTGATTTTCTTATATTTAAGATTGTTGGAAATAGGAACCAACAGGTGCATTTAGACGTCCAAACTATGCAAACTGAAAATCTATAATATCAATAAGACCCTAAATTACATTGCATCTCGACAATCTAATCTTAAAATTAAAGTGAATATAGTATTTTCATTTTTCTCCGTTCGATCTAGGCGTAGCGATAAACGAAATGGGGGTGATAAAAAGAATTTATATGGTCGATCTTTGTGATCTATTAGGGCATAATTACCTCTTTAGCATCTGAGTACCTAGCCATCTTTCTCTCCCCTTCTCCATAGCCATCTCCTCCATTTTTTTGGCTTTGTGGGAAATGTGCCCACTAAAATGATTTAACATACAAAGATTTCAGCTGGATTCTCTTCAATATAGAAATTTTTGGAGATAGTTAAATTCTTATTCCGTAAAACTTACATTTTTAGCAGCAGTACTAAAAGCTTGCTTGTGAGTCATGCCAGGATATGCATCCTTGAGTCTTCTGATTTCTTCTCTGATTAATGTTAATGTACACTTTGTAAGGTGAAAATCAGACCGTATTGGTATTAGACAGTAATAAGAAAAAAGCTAAACGCGTCTATTGAAATTTTTACTTGATGAAACAATTATAAGCTGACGGGGCTCGCTGTCTCTTCTCAGGGGCTGTAAAAATATCGAATTAAAAAAGAATCGGATAAGAAATAATTAACATGTTAAAGAGAATAATGAACAAGTTAATCAAGGTTGGTGAATTCACGTTTATTGATAACTTGATTAATCGGGGTCGAAATATTCTCCTCTTCCTCTTCGGACGAGAAACCAAGTGATGGACTGTGCATTTTTATTGCTTTCTCATCGTTGTCCAGTTCTTGAGAAAAAACTTCTTGTTTTGGTGGCTGCACCTAAAAGTAACAAGAGAAAATACAAAATCGTGCATATTATACTATTTAGTCATGTCGAATACTGTATTTCTCATGAGAAATGTGATTTACCAGTAAAAGGGTGGTGCAATGTTCACATTTGACTGTCATCTCCATGGATAAGCTGTTGCATGGAACACTAACCTGAATTTTATTAATTACAAGCCAAAATTAGAACTCGAATTACGTATGAAAACTCAAGAATCAAAGTTCATGTGAAGGAAAATAGGATTTACCAGTAAAATGGTAGTGCAATAACCACATTTCACATAACATATTTGCTCTTGGTGATCATAGAGATGATTGAAGGTTGACATCTTTCGTCTAAGAGAAACTGAAAAATCTTTTCTTTGGAAGAAGAGAATGATCAGTTGATAAGTTTTGACCAATGCACTGGAAATTTATAGCAGGAGATACCATTATTATAAATGAACGAATTTGATGTCTTTCTAATTTTATCTGCTGAAATTGAGAAAGACTCAAATCGATAATTTAAGTGAAATCTCAGTTTGAGAAGGCTTTATCTAGGTACGTTTTATTTTTGTGGCGAGGCCAAGTGTAGCTTTGAGGCGCCTTGACACGTAAGCCTATTTTAACTAATAAAATTTTTAAATTGAAAGTATTCTCATAATAAATCAGAAACCAATTAAATATTTAAAATGAATACAAGAATATGGTCATAAAAAGTCATGAATAAACCATCATAAGAAATTCATAATATAACAACAAATCTAGAAGTTTAACTTGCAAAAAATCCACTAGCTATCGCGATTCCCCTTTCCTTCCATGTAAATATAAGGAAAAAAAACTCGTATAACATTTTAGATTAAAAGAAATAGCCCAAAAAGCTAAGAACAATGACAAAATGTCCAGAAAACGCAAGACAAACACGCAAACATTTTAGTCCCTCAAAACTCTCTAGGTCGAGAGGTGTAATCCTCAAATACCACTATTAAACAATTTTGCAATCAATCAGATTTTGACAGAGGTTTTTCAATATCTTACTCACAATCAAGTTCATTAGTTTATTTGAAATGTTTGATCATCAAAATGTATTCAAATCTCATTTATAAGGTCAGTTGAAAGAATCCAGGGTGTTCAAAACCAGTGATGCCTCTTTGCTTCAAGTGTAGCTTTCTCCATATTTAATATCTCTCTGTTAAAAGTAAAAGTTTTACTTATAGGCTTTACAGAACAGTGTCTGAACAAGGAAAGAAGGAATCTTAGGATTTTGTCTTTGATGAAAGTAAGAAATTATAATTGACTTCTGCATGCATGCATGAGAAATACTTACACTCCATAATTAATATCTTTCGCATTCTTCTTTCAAATTTCTACTTATAATTCAGATGACTTAATGCCCACAACCTACTTGCCTGCAACCAGATTCAGTCAACCACATGCCTTCATAATATATGCATGTATGTGTGTATATATGTATTTAACTTGATCCTGCATAACTAAAAGAAATATAGTCTATTGAGATAAATAACTAGCCCTGTTTGGTACAGATTAAAATTAGATTTTTAGTAGATTTTGATAGAAGTTGATAAAATGTGTGGTTGAAAAGTTGTGGATCCCATTAAATGTATGGTTAAAATTAATTATTGGTTTTGACTTGAAATTTTAATCCAAACCAAACAGGGACCTAATAAGGTATGTTCAGTCGCGTTGAGTACAAGAAATTAGAAGTTTTAGGATTAGGTGGATTTGATCGTTGAATAAACATACGTTACTAAGCAACTCGACTGCAATCACATAGAGGAACTGCAAGTCAAATGAGCTTATTCGTAGTGAAAACTGAAAAGCTTGAGCTTATTTGTTTTGAAAAGAAGCTTTTCATTGTATTCCCCGTTTCGTTTTACTTTTATTGTATCACAATTTATTTTTGTCACTAATAAAACACTTTAATAAATGGGACCAAATAGGGGCTAATTTAAAAATAATTTACGTTGTCAATTTCAAATTTGTCTACATAAAATTTAGTTTGTTCTCAATGTAATAATATTTTTCTAGTCATCTAATCATATTCTTTAGGGTAATGGGACATGTATGTTTTCGTGGTGGTTCGCCTTCATCGTTTTCGTGGTCTGTATACGATGCAAGTTACATCAGTTTCAGAGAATTCGTTCGATGTCTGAATCGTCATATCAATGATTGTGAGTGGAAAAACATAATAAGGAGAATTTTAAAAATATTATTTAGAGGGTGTTTGGTGAGGATAACGTTTGATAAAATAAATTAAATATTACTAAACAATATTAATAAAAATCAAAATAAACTTTTAAAATCCAAAAGTAGCTTTTGGACTCGTTTAACTAATTTTATAAAAGTACTTCTTCTACTTAGAAGAGCTTTTAAAGGAAATTGGTCCAATGCGATTTCTTCTAAAAATATTTTTGGAATATGAAGTTCTTTTAAAAAATAATTTTTCAAATAAAAATTAAGGTGGTTCTCTCAAAAAAAAAAAAACTCTTCCACAAAAAATAAAAGTGAAAAAATAAATAAATGCAAAATGAGTCTTATAATGGTATAAATTTTAGTGCACACACACGTACAATTAGGGGTGAGCCCAGGTTGGATTGAGTCAGTTTTTGTCTCAATCGAAACCCAACCCATGTCAAGATTGAAACACAACCCAATCCAACCCAACCCAACACAATCAAATATCGATTGGGTTAGGTTGGATTGGTCAGGACAACCCGTCAACAAATATTAAAGTCGTCAAAATACAACAAATATTAAAGTCGTCAAAATACTGAATTTAAAGCAACATTAATATAGTCATTCAACATCAATAAATTTCAAATATAAAATAGTATAGTCCACCAAATATCCATCAAAATAATTATCCAATAACAATTACAAGTTTATAATGCTAAGGCAAAAAAACTATTGGCACTTGGCACAAGCAAAAATCTGTTGACAGAAAATGTTGGAGGCTACAGAAGAAGAACTAAATTGGATTCAAAATAAGATACATTGACGCAGTGCAGAATAGTGATTATTTTGCAGGTTAGTTCTACTAGAAAATTCATAGGGAAGAACACAAGATTAATGCCAAAAAAATACAAAGAAAACGTCTCTGAAATTTAGAGAATTTTATTATATCATGCAATAATCAAAATAAGTCTACAAGCCGGATTTTATAGCCAAAATCCGAATTTTACCAAAAATGAAAAAATTTCAAAAATCAAGCCAAACGAAAATATGGAATAAAATAAGTATTCTGTAAAAAAAAAAAAATTTCCCCATATTTGATTTAGAGTAAGGTCATAATTATTGGACTTTGCATATCACAAAAATCACTGGGCCTCAATTATTTTGGCTTTTAAGAAGGGGCATCTATAGAGAAGATAACCTTGAAATATATTTGTGATACAAGAATACTAAAAGGCTGGGTGTCAAATGTCAATTATCTGGTTAAGGTCCCATCAATATAGGAAAATTGTAAGAGGGATGATTAAGATAACCTTGAAATATATGGTACTAGAGAAGATAACCTTAAAATATATTTGTGATACAAGAATACTAAAATGTTTTGTGTCAAATGTCAATTATCTGGTTAAGGTCCCACCAATATAGGAAAATTGTAAGAGGGATGATTAAGATGTATTATGAATCTTTAGTGAAAGTCTCATGAATTTAACTGCGCTTCACATTTTAAATTTTCTTATGGTATAATTGCATTATTCGGATTAAACATAAATTACCTCGAACGGGAAGAGAACAAGAAAATCCCGATTGATCCAATAATTTTGGAGAAGACTAAGGTAGCTAAAAAGAATTAACTCGACTTCTAATAGAAAGATAAAAATACCATTTTAATGGAATTGTTACAAAAACTAGATACTCGATAATCTTAACATATTCATCAACACTCTAAAATGTGTGAAACTTATTGATATAGATTATACATAGATGACTTTGATCTTCAACAAATCTACTAAACAATACACTTCTAAAGCAACACTTAAGTTACGGGGATCCTTGAACAATTGAACAAGAAAATAAACGAAATTGAACATATCACTCTTTTAATGAGTTTGCTTAACAGAGTCGATACTGTATCAAACTTTGATAGGAGCACACTTTATATTCTTACTTTTTTAACTTTACGATATTTTAAAAAAGAGAAACATTTATAACCGTACACATTACCGACATGTCGACCCACATACTTATCATTAATGCATCATAAGATAAGACGTTGGAATATATTTATTATTGCACATTGGAATATATGTATTATTGCACATAAGACTTCAATCATAATCTTAACAAATCTTAATTAAATATTGAACTTTGATTTCCTTTTTTCCATGCCTTGTCCCACAATATATAATTATTTTTCGAGATAGATTGAAATTGGACTCTCTAGTTTTTAAATTAGTGTGATTATGAATCATTAACATTCGAAAATGATGATCTATTTATATATGTGAATATGAATCCAGTGTGATGGAAATTGTCAATGTGAGAGTTCAAATTCCATGAAACTTAAGCATCGTTTAACTTTAAGCCATGTGAAAGCTGCTTGTAATATGAACATTCGTACTAACAAATTCTATCACAAAGACATCGAGATTCACAAGTTCAAATATGTACCAAATTCAGGGCTACACTTTTGGATGTAGGAGATGCAAAGCCAAGTTATATGAAAAGTTGGGAGCCTAACTTCAATTTTCCCTTTTATATTTGAAAGACTAAATTGAATACAACCCACCTAATTCCTTGCAAGCTTAAGTAATCAATATTTTGTCAAGTGAGTAACAGATAACCCATATAGAGTTTTTCACTTTTTCTCACTAAACATATTTGAATAAGTAATAATGTTATTTTTTAAAGTACATCTAACCAATAAAACTCTTGTTTTAAACTTATTTGCTCAAGAGTAAACGTCAAAAGCTTAACCAAACATGCCCTTAAATGAGGAGCAAGAAAATATCCTTTACGATTAAAATCATTCATAATATGTGTCTAAAACAAATCAGATCAAAACGCAAGCTCATGCATGAACTTCGGCAGTTTGATTTGCAAATTGAACTCAATCGATCAACAACCTCTAACACATACGAAATTTAGATATGGATCAGCTTTTAGATCGAGACATATAATATCTCAAGCCATGTTTTGATAGAAACATCGTATATGAGAAATTAATTGGGTTGATATTTACAAGACTTATCTTATCCAAAATTTAATTCATCTTGGTCACAACTGTACATTGTCGTGGTCATGGTTGTTGGTAGTAATGAGTTTCACCAACTCAATGGTTGAATTTTGACATATTAGGCATTTAGAAGAAACAATAACATTTTAATTAGGATTAAACAAAATAGAAAATAACATTCTAATTATAGCCCCCCCCCCCCCCCCCCCCAGCCCCCCCCCCCCCCCCCCTAACACCACACACACACACACCCCAACTTTCGTTAATTAAGATTTCGTCAAGAATAGTGGACCTATCGGTCCCATCCACGTGCATTTACTAGCTCACCTTCCCAACCAAATCTACGTAATCGCGCTTTGAAGTTTGTTTATTGCTTCATTGGCAACTTTTGTTGAATAGTAACCTCGCTTGTCAGATTAATATACACGATGTCTATCTTTCTCTACTTTGATATAGACTTCAAGAGTTATTTTTTTATTGATTCATGTAAAGATATCGAGCATGATTTGTTGGTGTCCGATCTCTTACCTTGATAAAAAGAGATTAAAGGATCGTTTCTGAGCTACAGTCATGTTGAATACTCAAAGCATGGCCATCTTTATCGATGAGAAATGGAAGTTGTGAGATGAACACCTCATTCCTGGCCGCACCCATATAGTGACCAACCACTCCCAAAATGAGAAATGGAATTTGTGACATGAACACCTCATTTTTGACTAATCACAAGCTATCAATGATTGTTTAGATATTAGTTAATCATTACTTAGACTACATCTATGACCTAGACACTAGAATAATCCATTTGGTCGACCTCGACAACCAATCAGAAGTCCAAAATTTGGACGATGACACGTGTTTCTAGGTCGACACTGCAGTTGAAATGACGTGGACGAACAAGTGGCATGGTTTCAAAGCCTATAAAATGGAGCAAATAGTCCCCTCCATGTGCTGAACTCAATGTATTCTCCCAATTACATTCTAAACTTCGAATCAAAGAAATTAGCCCTTGTTCTTCATATATTCCAACAATTACTCTACAAAAATTGGATGAAGTTGATATAAAGTTGCCACATCATTTTTAGCCATCTACATGATTAGTGTGGATCATAGTCTAAAGTAAAGTTAGAAATAGGGATGGCAACAATTTAGGACGAAAATTGTAGGGGACGAGATAGAAATAAAAATTAAAATATTCTTCTTATTTTGTCATCTCTAAAGCAAAATCGACATGGCCCACCACTAGAGAGACAAATCAGTGACATCCACATTAAAAATTTTGAAAATAACCCTCCATCTTCATCCACGAATAAATACAGTCAGCTGCTGCCATATCTATTTGCCCAAAAAATAATATACAGATATTCCATCAAAACCCTCTAAAGATGGCACTTCAAGAAATATCACATGGAGAACAAGAAGTTGAAATTCATGGAGATGTACTGGAAGCAATACTCTCGTACGTGCCACTCATCGATTTGGTGCCGGCCTCTTGTGTTTCCAAGTCGTGGCGTTCCGCCGTGGCCTCCACCCTCCGCCACCTCAAAAAGCCGAAACCATGGCTGATCCTCTACAAACAAGCCACTCGCTCGCCTTATGCTGCTACAACACTCGCATACGACCCGTGTTCCAATCGGTGGATCAAAATATCCAAGCCGTCGATGAATTTCAATTCGGCACTCAAATCGTCTCAGTCTCATTTCCTTTACATGCTTTCGTCTTCGAAATTTTCGTTCTCGTTTGATCCGTTGAATTCTAGGTGGTATCATGTGGATCCTCCGCTCGTGTGGCGGACGGATCCAATTGTTGCACGTGTGGGGGATTCTGTGGTGGTTGCCGGCGGCGTTTGCCAATTTGAGGACGATCCATTGGCGGTTGAAGTGTATGACTTCAATACACGTGCGTGGTGCACGTGCGAGTCCATGCCCGGGAGTTTGAAGGAATCAGCGGCTTCAACTTGGCTCTCAATTGCGACTACAAAAGGGAAACTCATTGTTACAGAGAAACAAACCGGTGTGACTCACTGGTTTGACTCGGAAACAAAATCATGGTCCGGACAGTATAATCTGAACCCGGGTCAACCCGTTGTGAATTACAATATTGGGTCCTTTGACGACGATTTGATTTTGGTAGGCTTGTGTAAAAACGTTGAACGATTCAAGATATGGAAAATGAGTACTGAAAATTTTTACTTCGAAGAGATTGGAGAAATGCCCTTGGCGTTTGTTGAGAAATTAAAGAGTGAAAGTTTTGGACTCTCTTCGATAAATGTTCTTGTGGGGACGAATTTAGTGTACATGTACAATTCATGGGAGGTGGAGGAGGTAGTGGTGTGTGAACTGATATGCGGCGGAGGCGGCAGTGTTGAAGGTTGCAGGTGGTGGAGTGTGGAAAATGTGGTGGCGCGTGAAGGAATGTTGAAGGATAGGTTGGTTTCCACATGCTCTGAAGTTGGTTTTGATGAGTTGCAGCGAGTCATGAGGACGGACAACTGGAAATTTGAGGTGGTGAGTCTTGAGAAAGAAACGGTCAAATCAGCGGAACCGTGACAGCATTTTTATTTTACCTATGTTAAAGTGTTTGGTTTTGATACAAGTCTAATAATTGCTGTTACATGATCCAATATTTTTGTACTACTGCGAATTAACAGTGTGTTTGATGCACCAACCGTAGGAGAGCATGCAATTTTTTTTTTATTATGATGTGATATGGAATATGTTGTAGAAGAAAAAGGAAAAATATGATGTAAAATATTATTTTATTAAAGAATGTGTGGTTAAAAATGAGTAGAAAAATGAGAATATGGTCCAAACAAGGACTAATATTAAATTTTAAAAGAGATGTGATCCAGGTCGGGCATGAATGTGGTTCAGATCCAGGGCAGGCATGATAGGCTCAAGGCCCACGCAAAAAAAAATAATAATAAAAGGAAAAAAATTGCAATTACCAACCCATTTCACTGACAGGTTATGCTACATGTACATTAGGTACACATAATAGTGTCCATAATGTACGTGTGGCGCCTCCCTGTTGGGGGGAGTGCATGTGGCGCCCTGTTGGGGGGAGTGTCTGCCACATGCACTCCCCCCAACAGGGAGGCGCCACACGTACATTATGGACACTATTATGTGTACAATAATGTACATGTAGCATTATTCTTCACTGAATTAGTTTGGGTGGTCAATCTTTCACGATTGGCAGACGTCCAGTTCAATGACAGTTTTTGTACAATATCTCTAGTTAATTCAGACATGAGCCATTTTTATAGAGGGTAAAATAAGAATAAATAAACAAAAATTTAATAAAGAGAAGACATATAATGTATTAAAGCAACTAGTAAAACGATAAATAAATAAATATATAAATCTAAAGAAAAAGAAAATCAATTGTTTTCCTCGCTCCAAATCGTCGCCACCCGCTTCCACACCTCATACGAAAACCCTAAACCTTTTTTGCCGTAACGCACCCTCCCCCATTTTCCCCTTTCCTTATGCGAAATCAGGAGGGGAAATCCCCATGGTCTTGCAAAAGCCTAGAATGTTAGCAATTCTGGTTAACGTGAATGGGGAGGTAGGATTACAATCGGAGTGCCATGTATGGGGGTTGCGATGTAGGTGGGCGACGAGGATGACAAACTTTTTCTTATTTTTTCGATCATTTATTTACTTTTATATAGTTATTTTATCAAAACTTAGGCTTTTTCTTTATTAAATGAAATATTTAGTTTTGCTGTTAATTTTATCGTTTGCTAAAAAGTCCCTTGCAATTTACATGACTTACCTAACAGTAAAAATTGATAGAAACCATCTTTAGTAACGAAATTTACTAATATTTAAAAATGTTGAGGATAATATTGTGACCGAAAAAAGTTGGGGACCAAATATAGAATTTACCTTCAAATAAAATATGCAAGTGTGAACTAATTGCGGGGAAATATATACGTCATTCTTTTTCTTTTCTTTTTATTTTTATTTTTATTATTTACATACACACATGGATTTTGAAATAGTTGTTTTTTTTTTCCCCCATTTTTTTAGATCTTGTCTTGGTTTCACATGTTATGTGCTAATTTACAAGCTATTTTATAAGAGCACGTCATTTTGGATCACTTGTCGATATGGTTTTATGTTGTTCCGTTCAACTCAGTTTTTTTTACCACATACCGTGTATAACTTCACAATCGACATAATTTTTAGAAGTTTTCTTTTTAATTCTGGAGTGTTCCCAATTTTTTATGCAAATCGACACCCAAGAAAATCCAAGCCATTCCCCATATTTTCCCTTACAGAAAGAATCGTATAGCCCAATTCATTTCTTCTAACTCATGTTTTTGAATTTCCCATATATTACGCTAGGGGTGCACAAAAAAATCGTGAAACCGCAAATCGAATCGAAACAGTTAGTTTGAAACCGTTGGTTCGGGTCCACGTGGACCCGCGATTTTTTTTTTTTTCCCTTCAAATCGAACCAAACCGTTTTAAAATGGTTTGGTTTAGGTTTCAATTTTCACAAACCGCAAAAAACCGAACCGTTTTTTAATTTTTTTAATTAAAAAATTGATCATATTATCTTACAAATTTTAAAGTTTTTACTTTTTAGAAAAAATACCAATTTAGCAATACAAATTACAGCCAATACATTAAAATAATAATAAAGAGTAAATTAAGTTCATCATTATAGGCTGATAGTTATATAAGTCTACAACACACGCCGTGACTCGATATCTAATCTAAACTAAAATAAATCACAAATCATATGAAAAACAAAGCATTTATTTTCAACATTATTGGCCGATAGTTTTATAAGTCTACAACACACATCGTGACTCGATATCTAATTTAAACTAAAATTAATCACAAATAATATGAAAAAAAAGGCATTTATTTTCTACAATCCAAATCATACTACAACAAAACTACGACAGCAAATCACGCCCACAATTTTAGAAGTTACCTAAACTCTCATTTCTCAAACATTTGGCTTTTGCCCACTCTTGCACAAAATGCGATTCCCAATTGCAAATCGTTAGTCGTCTTTTGCTTGTTAGTCTGTTAATTTATACCTGAATCACTATTCCTCTCTTAATAAATCTTAGATTCTCATTCAAGTCATTTTTTTAATTATCATTTCTTTTATTTGTTGTTTTTTAACTTATTAAACACTAGTGAGTTGTTTATGTGCCTAAGTGAT